GAGCCCCAGAAAGAAACCTGGCTCTGAATCTCACAGGCCGTGTGTGATTTTACCTCTCAGAGCCTCAGTTTCTTGATTGTAAAATGATGAATGATGACATTTTCCTGGGTGCTTTTGCAGAACTGCGCTTAGATAATGTCTGCAAAGCCCTTAGGTGGTGCTTACATGGCAACCATTCAATAAATTCTATTTAATACATTCCAATAATAGCTTTCATATTTCAAATTTCCAAGGTTTACATGAAAAAAAGATGACATCAACCAAGTGAAATTTTGTTTGTATGTATAATTTTCCAAGGAGACAGCGCATTAGTTCCCATTAGAGTCTTAGAAGACTTCTGTCTTGGGGCTGGCACTGTGGTGTAGTAGGTTAAGCCTCTGCCTGCAATGCTGGCATCCCAAATGGGCGCTGGTTCTAGTCCTGGCTTCTCCTCTTCCGATCCAGCTCTCTGCTATGACCTGGGAAAGCAGTGGAAGATGGCCCAAGTGCTTGGGCCCCTGCACATGGAAGGGAGACCCAAAGGAAGCTCCTGGCTCCTGATCAGCTCAGCTCCAGCTGTTGCGGCCATTTGGGTAGTGAACCAGTGGATAGAAGACCTTTCTTTTTGTCTCTCCCTCTCTCTGTCTATAACTCTACCTCTCAAGTGAATAGACAAAATCTTAAAAAAAAAAATTCTGTCTTTAAAAAAGAATACAGCCAAGAGAAAGAACTTAGAAGTAAAAATGGGCCTATGATCACAAAAAAAAAAACAACTAAATGAACATGAAGTACGAAGACACTTTATTCCCAAAGAATTCCTCTAACCAGGGGGTCAGGATAGGGAATCCAGGAAAACACAACTATCAAATAGGCAGTGGCAGTGTTGTGCAATTTTTTCCATTCAACTTTTAGAATCAGTAAATCCATATTTAAAAGACGACTCCCAGTCCACCCCAAATGGCATCAGCTTTCTATATGGAAAGCCAAGAGACAGGGCAAAGAGTCCCTGATAAAAGCCAGCCTCCACAAAATTCTGTCAAGAGCTGGGTGGGTGGAACTGCCCCGGGGCAGAAGGGCTCCCAGGTTAGAACCACCAACCCTGCTGGCTCCAAGCTAAAAAAGCCCTTACTCCGTCCAGCTTCCAAGATAACCACCGCTGTTGAGGGAAAGGCCTAGGGTCAGTACAGGCAGGACTGCCATCTTCCTTTTAGATATGCCACCTGTTCTACACTAACCTCCTGTGCAAGCCAGTTCTCCCCCCAGGCCAGCTAGGTAATGGAATCAACAGGGTGTTTTCCCTAAAAAGAGTCACATCTTCCTTATAATGTCCCTTCTGGTAACCCATGTAAAGAGGTCGATAGGTCTGGGCCTCACGGATAGCTGGCCAGGCTATCTTCTGGATTGGATAACACATTTCCTAGGTACTCCAATAATGATTCGAGGCCGACGAGAAGCCGGTGGCCTGAAACAGGAGTGCAGTGCAAATCCAGCAACACTGTACAAGCTGAGAGCCTGAAACAAGCAAGCCAGCCCTAAAGAGAGCACCAGGGACGCCAGCGACAGAGGGATTCAGTCACTCCGGAAGCTGACTGATTTGCACACGGCTGAAGCCTGAGGAATTGGCCGCCTGATAAAATAAATGGACTGTGGAAGACTGTGGATTCAAAAAGCTTCCATAGCCATAGCAGCTCATGTCAAGAGCCTCGGATGGTCATTGACGTCATACATGAGTGGTAATTGTTAAATTAACAACAGGAGTCACTGTGCACTAACAACCCGTGCAGAACCTCTGTCCTCTGAGAACTAACTGTAAAACTTGTTCTCAAATAATTTTGTGTGTGTGTGTGCATGTGCATAAATTGTTGAAATCCTTACTTAATATAGAGTTGGTCTTCTGTGTATAAAGTTAATTGAAAATGAATCTTAATGGAGAATGGGATAGGGAATGGGAGAGAGAGGAGGAGGTGGGGTAGGAGTGGGGGCAGCAGGGTGGGTAAGGTGGGAAGAATCACTATATTCCTAAAGTTGTAGTTGTGAAATTTGTATTTATTAAATAAAAGGTTTCTTTGGGAAAAAAATTAATGGACTGATCCTTTCTCTTTTTGCCTCTTTATATTTGTTTCAAAATTTTAATCTAAGTAACTGTTGTATACAAATAGATAACGAGGACAAGATTATAAAAATTACTGATCAAATAAAAAAGGTCACCCACGGGGTAGGGGACACACGCCTTTGGCAGAGCAGTTAAACTGCAGCGTGGGACATCTGCATCCCATATCAGAGTACCTGGCGGAGCTCTGGCTCTGCTCCTGATGTCAGCTTCTTGGGAGACAGCAGGTGATGACTCAAGTAGTTGGGTCCCTGCCACCCACATGGGAGACTCAGATTGAGTTCCTGGCTCCCAGCCTCAGCCTGGCCCAGGTCTGGCTGTTGCAGGCACTTGAGGGAGTGAACCAGCAAATGGGACATCTCTTTGTCCACCTCTCTCTCTGCCTTTCATATAAATAAAAATAAAATATAATAGGACTACATTACATGGCCGGCGCCGCGGCTCACTAGGCTAATCCTCTACCTTGCGGCACCGGCACACCAGGTTCTAGTCCTGGTCGGGGCGCCGGATTCTGTCCCAGTTGCCCCTCTTCCAGGCCAGCTCTCTGCTGTGGCCAGGGAGTGCAGTGGAGGATGGCCCAGGTCCTTGGGCCCTGCACCCCATCGGAGACCAGGAGAAGCACCTGGCTCCTGCCTTCAGATCAGCACGGTGGCCATTGGGGGGTGAACCAACGGCAAAAAAAGGAAGACCTTTCTCTCTGTCTCTCTCTCTCACTGTCCACTCTGCCTGTCAAAAAAAAAAAAATAGTACTACATTACTGATAATCTGTGTGACTGTTCAAAAAAATGCTTTTAAAGATTATTTATTTGAGGGGCTGTCACTGTGGTGCAGTAGGTTAATCTTCCGCCTGCGGTGCCAGCATCCCATATGGGAGCCGGGTTCTAGTCCCGGTTGCTCCTCTTCCAGTCCAGCTCTCTGCTATGGCCTGGGAAAGCAGTAGAAGATGGCCCAAGTGCCTGGGCCCCTGCACCCACATGGGAGACTAGGAAGAAGCTCCTGGCTTCAGATCGGTGTAGCTCCAGCTGTTGCAGTCAATTGGGGAGTGAACCAACAGATGGAAGAACTTTCTCTCTGTCTCTCCTTCTCACTGTCTGTAACTTCACCTCTCAAATAAATAAATAAAATCTTAAAAAAAAGATTATTTATTTGAGGGGCAGAGTTACAGAGAGGCAGAGAGAGAGAAAGAGGTCTTCCATCGGCTGGCTCACTCCCCAGGTGGCCGCAACAGCCAGAACTGGGAAGATCTGAAGCCAGGAACCAGGAGCTTCCTCCCGGGTCTCCCATATGGGTGCACTTGGGCCATCCTCCACTGCCTTCCCAGGCCACAGCAGAGAGCTGGATCAGAAGTGGAGAACCGGGACTTGAACCAGCGCCCACATGGGATTCTGGTACTACCCTCCACAGCTTCACCGGCTACACCACAACACCGGCCCCCAAAATACGGTTTTGCTTTGGTTATCATCAATTCCTTGTTGTTAATTAACTTCAAATTTGGGAAGATAATGCTCCACAGTGCTTAGGAGAGAAAAGTGGGGGACAAAGATTTCTGCAACTCTTCTGGTGCTCCTGGAAAGGAACTAAATAAAGACAGGGATCCCTGGGCAAGCAGAACGGGACTTAACATCAGAGCGGTGGACAAGGCTGGCTCTGCAGCAGATACCTCCAAAGTGGCGCCTTTTGGGGGGTTCTGGAGAAGCGCACCCAGCTCCCCACATTTCTTTCTTCATGTCATCCTGCCCGAAATCCCATCTTTAGAGAGAATTCCTTTGGCTCACTGAGAGCTCTCCAGAGGATACTCCCTCTCTTCATTGTTGGACATCCCCGCGCCCCCAAGGAGTTAGCCAACAAAGGCGCAAGGCGTCCCGCACCTGTTTCTTCACAGGGAAACAAGAGGACTGAGCCACTGGGGGGTGGGGGGCGGAGAGGGTAGGGGAATTTAGAGCTGCCGGTAGGGAACAAAAAGCCGGCAAGGAGAGGTCCCTAAGACACAGGCACTGAAGTGCTAGGGGCACAGGAGGGGCTGGCCAGATGGGGAGGGGGCGTGCTAAAGCCAGACTCTTCTCCCAGAACTGCCCTCAGTGCTTCGGGAGGTAGGGGGTCCTGCACCTTCCCTGGAAATTGTTCGGGGTCCCGATGCTGGGGCCAGGGGTGCAAGAGGGTGGGCGAAGGCTGCGCAGGGCCTCCATCGGGTGGGGCGAGAAAGAAAGGAGAGTGGGTGAGGTGGAAGACACCCCGCTCCCGGCCCCCCACTCGCCGGCTGCCAGTTAACTCTTGCGTTTCCCGGGCCGCCTGGATGACACGAGATAACGAAGGGCTGGCACCGAGCCGGGCAGCTGGCGACCGCGGGATAACGTGAGCCCTGGCCACGGTTCCGAGTACTGGGAACGCCCCTTTGTCCCTGGCGCGCCCACAATGTGCCCGGCACGGGCTGTGCTCTTTGCATCCCACCACCCCGAAATCGTGACCCCAGCCTGCGAAACAGGGCTCGTTATTCTCACTGGACGAGCGAGGAGAGGAGCGCGCACTGCCCAAGCCGCGGAGACCTGGCTAGAACCCGCGTGTCAGGCTGCACAGCCCGTGGGGATCCGCACCCAGGGGGAGGGTCGGGGGCCGGCAGGGACTCCTCGAGCGTCGCCAGGGGCGCGGGGCTCACCCTTAAAGGAGTCGGGGAGCCGGTGCGCTTGGTTGTCCGTGCCGTGCCGCTTCTCTGCCATGCTGCCTGAGCAGGAGTCGGGCTCTCACGTCGCGTCCCCCCACTAAGAAGCCAGAGACGCCAGGAATGCCCTGAAGAGCCCAGGAGACTGAGACCTAGGCTGCAACCCCGCCCCTCCTCGCGGTCACGCCCCTCCCTGAGTCCTGACCAATCGGCTCTCAAAATAGAAAGGACACGCCCCCCCGCAGCCTCCGCCACGCCCTCTTGCGCGCGCGCTCCTCCCCGGGGCCTCTGGGCGGCCGTTTCCCTGCAGGCTGAGGGGCGTAGCCGGAGGGACGAGGCCCCCACTGCGGTGGGGTTCCGGGCCGAGGGGCGTTGGCTGAGGATACACTGGGGGCGGTCAAGAGACGGCCTGAGGAAAAGGTGTGAATAGGACAAGGCGACCCGCAGGGTACAAGTATTAGAACTGGGCGCCTCGTTTGGCCTGAGGAGCTAGAGGGAAGAAAATGGCGCCCTCTCTCGACGGGGCGAGGTCTGAATTGAGGCGAGAAGGTTGGGGACACCTGCGTGGCCCAGGTGCGGGCGCGGAGGCCAGTCTGAGCAGAGGGGCTGTGGGGTGAGGGGAGGCAGGCCAGGGGACCGTCGCCCGGAGCCGAGGCGAGGAGTTGCATGTCTCGACCCGCGGCGCGAGGGTCCAGCGTGGTGCCCCTCGAGGAGTTCCCCTGGCCCTCCAGCTGGGGGGACGGGCGACCAACAAGCAAGCAGATCACAGCGCAGAGTGAGGCGTTAGCTCAGGGGACAAGGGAAGAGTGGCCTTGAGATGTCGCCAGGAAGATGAGAAGGAGCCCGCCTTGGGAAGGGGGACGGGCGGTTGCAGGAGGATGGGAAGGGTCGCCCAGGTGCAGGGATAAGGAGCGGCAGAGGCGGTAGTTCCAGGCTCGGGCTTTCTCGTAGGTGGTGGTGGAAAGCCTCGCTGTTGAAAACCGCACTGTGTTTTAGGCTCTGTGATTGGTCCTCAGGCAAAATGTGCAAAGTGTGTTCTTGTAACAGAAGGTGTGCTTTCAAAAACATCTTCAAATCAGTACAGAGTCACAGGCAGTTGGGTAGAACGTGCAGAGAAGTCACAGGTCCCCTGTCCACCCAGTGTCCCCATAGTCACGTCCCACTCAGCTGCAGCACCCAAACCAGGAAATGGACCATGCGTGATGTGTATGTCTACGTCACACGCACACATGCACATAGTGTAGACGTAATGTGGGTAGTCCGTGTTATTGTATCACCTGTGACCAGGGCAGTTAAGATGCAGAGCTGTTCCGTCTCCATAAATCTCTCCCTCCTGAGAGGCAATGTTATCTTTTTTCTAATGTGCTCAGTGTTTGGCTGTGTACCGTGCAGTAGTTTGTGGTGCTTAGATAATATGGAAGGGTAGACTTTGGGATTTTATAGGGCTGCGCGAGGATGATTGTTGCTTCAGGCGAAGCCTCCAGTGTGGGCATAAAAGCCTGATTCAGAGCTTGTAAATTGACTTCCGGTCAAATTAGCGCAAATGACTGCTCCTGTTCCTGGAAAGGTGCATGGCTTGTGCAGTTGCTTTGTTGATTAGCCTTCTGGAGAAGATAAGAAGAGGGCTACAGTAATTTAATGATCCCTCCTCTCTCACAATCATCCTTGAGAAAGTCCACAGCTTCATATTTTCCATTCTGCAGCAAATAAACCCCAGAGGCAGGAACTTCCTGTTTGTGCTGTGACTCCCAGAAAAGAGGAGCAAATGCCCCAAAATGAATTAAACCCTTTGGTCGAGACAGCCTTGACTACAGATTGCTTAGTGTGAGGAAGTATGTAGTTTTCATTTTGGCTGGAAAGGAAAATATTTCAAAATGAATTTAATGTGCGTGTTCTCCCCTGCTTCCTTAGCTCTGGTCTCAAGGCAATCCCAACAGCGTCACTTCTGGAGAATTAGAAAAGAAGCCACTCCCTGTGGGACCAAGACTTCAGTAAACACTTGTTGGCTTTGGTTTCAGATTGCATCAGTTCTAGAGCTAATTCCAGGCTCCAACCCAAGAACAGGTTTTGACTTGACTTTTGAATGCCTTCAGAGTAGATAAGAGTTTCCGATCTTGATTAAAATATGCTTTCACTTGCCCATGAAACTAGTATATTCTGACTTTCTCATGAATGTTCTGTATAAACACATCGATTATATGTCGTCCTTTCTGTTGGGGAGATTTTTAATTCTAACTTTTCTTCTAGGAATGACTAGAAGCTAGGATGTTGGAGTTTTGTTTGTTTATTTAGAACTTTATATTTTGAGGATGGAGATTTGGGAACAGGCATTTAGCCTAGCAATTTAGATGACCACATCCCACATTGGAATACCTGAGTTTGATTCCTGGCACTGGCTCCTGACTCCAGCTTCCTACTAATTCAGACCCTGAGAGACAGCAGGTTATGGCTCAAGTAATTGGATTCCTGCCATCCCAGTGGGAGGCCTGGATTATAATTTCTTTTTTTAAAAAACAAGATTTATTAATTTATTTATTTGAAAGTCAAAAATAGAGAGAGGGACACAGAGAGAGAGATTTTCCATCTGCTGATTCACTCCCTAGATGGCCGCAACTGCCAGCGCTGAGCCAGGCCAAAGCCAGGGGCCAGGAGCTTCTTCTAGGTCTCCCACAAGGGTAATAGGGGCCCAAGCATTTGGGCCATTTTTGCTGCTTTTCCCAGGCCGGTAGCAGGAAGCTGAATTGGAAATGGAGCAGCCAGGACGTGAACCAGCACCCATATGGGATGGGTGGCTTTACCCGCTATACCGCGATGCCAGCCCCTGGATTACAATTTCTGACTCCTGCTTTCTGCCCAGGCGCAACTCTGGCTGTTCCGGGCGTTTGGAGAGTAAACCAGCAAATGGGAGCTTGCTTTCTCTGTTTTTCTCTCATTGCCTCTCAAATAAAATAGAGATTTATTATATGAAATTAAGAGTCAAATTACTTAGAATCTTTTAACTTCTATCAAAAATGCTATTAAACTTTTGATGAAAATTTCTTCTAGCTATTATTTATTTAAAAGATATGTTTAGTTAAAACCTGAATACATATTCTGTACAAAGATACCTCAGAAAGTGTGTACATGTATTATGAAATGGGTATTAGGAAAAACCATTACATGTATTTCAAAAAATTATTGCACTGACTCTTTCAAATTTCTTTTTCCATGGGCTATTTGAAGTAACTTCATATTTATGTCTTATTTTGTTCTTATTTGCCTAGCATATTCAGGGTTCCAAATTATGTATTGATCGATGGTCATGATGACATTAAGACATGGAGATCTGGTTAAAGACAGACATGCACCATGAATCCATTATTGAATAAGTTAGAGGGAAATTTAGTTAGTCTTTCTCCCATACCCATAAAAAAGCTTTGATAAGAACAACAGGAAAGTCTTTATTTTTTTCCTTTAAATTTGCTAATCCAGGCTCTTCCCGATGCCTTTAGTGAAGTCAGCTAATGAAATACCTTGTGGGAACAGCAGTATTGACAGTTGCATCTGTTTGTGGCATTTTCCCCAGGATGGAGCTAACAGATTTGACCTGTTTCTCCATATGGATTAATTTACATCTATTACTTTACAGTAAAGTTTTTATCTTTTTTATCTTTTCCTCAGGAAATTACTCTAGGATTTGAATCATCACAAGAGTATAACCAGAGGAGTGGCAGCAGACCAAGTACTTCGTAGCACCTGGTAAGATGCTGAGAGGCCGGCACCGCGGCTCACTAGGCTAATCCTCCACCTTGCGGTGCCGGCACACTGGGTTCTAGTCCCAGTCAGGGCGCCGGATTCTGTCCCGGTTGCCCCTCTTCCAGGCCAGCTCTCTGCTGTGGCCAGGGAGTGCAGTGGAGGATGGCCCAAGTGCTTGGGCCCTGTACCCCATGGGAGACCAGGAGAAGCACCTGGCTCCTGCCATCGGATCAGCGTGGTGCCAGACCCAGCATGTGGGCCGTGGCGGCCATTGGAGGGTGAACCAACAGCAAAAGGAAGACCTTTCTCTCTGTCTCTCTCTCTCAGTGTCTACTCTGCCTGTCCAAAAAAAAAAAAAAAAAAGATGCTAAGAGTCCAATTCCTTAAGTCTTATGAAAATAATAAGTTTTGCTATAATATTAGTGATATTTAATAGTTACCTATGGAAACGATCCTATTAATATGATAATATATTAGTTTGCTTAGCTAATATTTATTGTACACTTATGTGCCAAGCATTGTTCTAGGTTTTGGGGATACTTCAGTGAACAAAAAGAGACAAAAATTTTTGTCCTCATGCATGGATCTTCTTGTATTCTTTTTTTTAAGATTTATTTATTATTCAAAAGTCAGAGTTACACAGAGAGAGGAGAGGCAGAGAGAGAGAGAGAGAGAGAGGTCTTCCATCCGATGGTTCACCTCCCAACTGACCACAATGGCTGGAACTGTGGCAATCCAAAGCCAGGAGCCAGGACTTCTCCGGGTATCCCACACAGGTGCAGGGGCCCAAGGACTTGGGCCATCTTGTATTGCTATCCCAGGCCATAGCAGAGAGCTGGATCAGAAGTGGAGCAGCCGGGACTCGAACCGGCTTCCATATGGGATGCCAGCACTTCAGGCCAGGACGTTAACCCGTGTGCCACAGCGCTGACCCCTTGTATTCTTTTTCATATTTATTATTTTTCCAGAATTTACATCACAAAGTGCTACCATAGACTGGGTGGTTTAAACAATAGAAATTGATATTTCTACAGTTCTTGGGACTAGAAGTCCAAGACCAAGGTGTCAGCAGGGTTGGTTACTTCCAAAGGCCAGGAGGGAAAGACTTGTTGCAAGCCTCTCTTTTTGACTTGTAGATGGCCATCTTCTCCTCATGTCTTCAGTTTGCCTTCCCTCTGTGCTTGTCTGTATCTAAATTTCCTCCTATTGGATTAGGGTCCATCCTACAGACCCCATTTTAGCTTAATTACCTCCTTAAGATTGTCTCCAAGTACAGTCACATTCTGAGGTACTGTGGGTTGGATCTTCAACCTAAGACTTTTTGGGGATCACAGTTCAACCCAATTTATTAAATTTGACCATGGTAAATCCATATCTTTGTCTCACTTGTCTCCTATCCACATCCCTGAGATATTAAAAGCCGTTTATACTTACTTGCAAGGTATGTTCAGGTAACCTGTAATTACAAGTGATTACTTCTCTAAACATGACTTATTTTTAAAGAACACTAAAAAGAAGTTGAAAAAGGATTACACTACTTAGAATGTTGTTCTATATAGTTTACCATATTCTACTGCTTTAAAAAAATTATAAAAATGAATCAAGGGGAACTGTGTTGGAGGAGAGGATTTCTATTTACCAGCTTATTATTCACAGGGCATCGAGGATGCATGGTAAAATATTTCAAGTACTTTATATGGAATAAGTACTGGGCTTATATAATAACATTATTTTTAATAATTCATGTAACATTACCATCATCATTTTCCACCATTACAGGTTACTAGTTATTTTTACTTCAGACTGAGACTGGGGTTAGTCACTTACTTATAGATGGTAAGTGGCAGAGATACTGTTTGCTCCAAATCTATATAACCCCTGAGTTTAAGCTCTTCATCATTCCAAATATGTGAAAAGAAACAAAATTATCATTTATTCAGATTAGAAAACATCTAAATACCCTAAATGGGTATTTAAAATTACCTTCAGTATTCATGTATACTTAATTTTATATTGAAATTATACTTTTTGCTCAGTGTTTATATCATTGTTGATATACTATATGAAACTGTTTTCATTTTTTTAAGATTTATTTATTTATTTGAAAGTCAAAATTACAGAGAAAGAAGGAGAGGCAGAAAGAGGGAGTGAGGTCTTCCATCCGCTGGTACACTCCCAGGGAACCAGGAACTTCTCCAGGTCTTCCCACTTGAGTGCAGGGGCCCAAGGGTTTGGGTCATCCTCCACTGCTTTCCCAGGCCATAAAAGAGAGCTGGAGCAGAAGTAGAGCAGCCAGGACTTAAACGGGTGCCCATATGGGATGCTGACACTGCAGACGGCAGCTTTACCCACAATGCCACAGTGCTGGCACCGTCTGTTCAGCTTAAGTATTGAATTTGTAAAGATCAAGACAGAATCTACAACCAGATCAATATTTTATAGTTTATTTCATTGGACATATCAAATTTTTTTGACAGAGTTACACAGTGAGAAAGGGAGACAGAGAGAAAGGTCTTCCTTCTGTTGGTTCACACCACCCCCCCCAAAAGGCCACTACAGCCGGAACTATGCCGATCTCAAGCCACGAGCCAGGTGCTTCTTCCTGGTCTCCCACGTGGGTGCAGGCACCCAAGCACTTGGGCCATCCTCCACTGCCCTCCCGGGCCACAGCAGAGAGCTGGACTGGAAGAGGAGCAACCAGGACTAGAACCCGGCTCCCATATGGGATGCCAGATCTGCAGGCAGAGGATTAACCAAGTGAGCCATGGTGCTGGCCCCATACATATATATCAATTTTAATTGAAAATTTAAACAATGGTTAAAATATTTAGATTTTCCCCTTGTAATAGTACAGAGTAAATTTTGTTTTTCCATTGTTGAAGTTGAATGAGGCAGCTAACTGCCTGGAAATATCAGGAAAAGCTTCCAAGGAATGCTGAGATTAATAGGATAAAATCACTTTAGAAAAAAATGCTTTAGGAATACAAAAAAAAGCCATTGTAAATGTATATGAATATGCCAGAGCTTGGTATTGTGGGGGAAGTATAAGTAGTAACATATGCAAGAAGTGGTAGTGAGAGATGACAGTGAAGTGAAAGGCATATGTCAAACTTAGAAGTCAGTTATGAAGTTTCTGAAAGATCTTAAGTAGGGTGGAATGAATGTATTGGACTACTGTGTTTGAATATGGTTTGTATTCCCCAGGGGTCCATTGTGATTAAGGGTATGGAGCAGCTGGGTCTCAAACTAGCACCCGTATGGGATGCTACTTCACAGGTAGTGGCTTTACCCACTACACCACAATGCTGTCCCCATAATTTCTTACAGAACTAAACATAATCTTAAGTTATGATCCAGTAATTGTGATGTTTGGTATTTACTCAATGAGTTGAAAAGTTATAGTCACACAAAAATCTGTACACTGTTTTATTCACAATTGCGAAAATTTGGAAACAATTGAGTTGTCTTTTAGTAAGTGAAAAAAATAATGCGTGTCATGCTATGAAAAGATCTAGATGATTATCACTTCTCGGCCTTTTGGCTAAGATCAAGTGTAAAAGATACTAAGTGAAGTAAGCCAGTACAGAAATGCTGTATACTATATGATTCCAACTATATGACATTCTGCAAAAAGCAAAATTATGAGACAGTAAAGCATCAATGGTGCAAGGGGACGAGGAGGGAGGGATGAATAGAAGTAGCACAGAGGTTTATAGGGCAGTAAAAATACTCTCTTTTACTCTGTTTGATTCCATCATGGTAGAGACATGTTACACACTTGTCAAAACCTGTAGAATTTGTAAAACCCGCATCACCAAAAATGAACCCTAACCAGGACTTTGGGTGGCAATAATGTATAAGTTTATTGTAATAAAAGGGATGTTAATAGTGGAGAGGCAGGCTTAGTGGCAAGGCTTTAGAAATACCAAAGGGACAGGGGCCATGACAATGTCAGATTCCATCAGCACTGGTACTTTCTCTGAGTCCTAATAACTATAGTACTTTATTGATCAGTTTTTCATTGTTACAGCTGAACTATCTCCGAGAAGCTAATTAGGAAGGAAGATTTATTTTGGCTTACAGTTTTGGAGGTTTACAGTCTAAGATTGGGTGCCTGCATTAGTCTGGCATCTGATGAAGGCAGTGGATGGTGGAATGAGAAGGGAAGATCACATGATGAGCCAGGAAGCAGCAAGACACAGTGGGGTGTTTGGGACAGAATGCTGTAGAGAAACCCTTGCTAAAGAGTTCTTCAAAAGTGCAGGTACAGGCAGAATTGGATTCTGAGACGTGCTGACTTGTGAGATTGTAATATTGTTTTTTTAAAAAAATATTTATTCATTTATTTGGAAGTCAGTTACACAGAGAGAGAAGAAGAGGCAGAGGCAGAGAGAGAGAGAGAGAGAGAGAGAGAGAGAGAGTGAGAGAAAGAGAGAGGTCTTCCATCTGCTGGTTCACTCCCCAATTGGCTGCAATGGCTGGAGCTGGCTGATCTGAAGCCAGAAACCAAGAGCTTCTTCTGGGTCTCCCACATGCATGCAAGGGCCCAAGCACCCAAGTGGGCTGTCTTCCACTGCTTTCCCTGGCACATTAGCAGGGAGCTGGACTGGAAGTGGAGCAGTCGGGACCCATGAGGGATGCTGGCACTGCAGACGACAGCTTTACCCCCCCATACCACAGCGTGGCCCTGACTGTAATACTGTTCTACCCTTGGGCTGGTGTGTTCTGGGAAAAAAGTGCTATGTGCTAAGAGCAGAAAATGACCAAGAAAGGGTCTTTTTTAGGCAAAGGAAAACTTAAGAGATGAAGTGACAAGTTTGAAAAGCAGAGAAATGATGACTGATAACTCAGGTTGAAAGAGAAATTCCACATGTACTAGTTGATTACTTGGGGTATTTAGTGACAGTCTTAAGTAAACTAACCTCTGACAGAAGTCAACATTGGATGAATGGTTGAAAGGCCAGTTTTTTGATCTACAAATGAGATACATCTCTTCATTTATT